TGGCAACAAAGATCCGCCTAGTCAAAGCCATGGTATTCCCTGTAGTAACCTACGGATGTGAGAGCTGGACCTTAGGGAAGGCTGAGCGAAGGAAGATCGATGCTTTTGAGCTGTGGTGTTGGAGGAAAGTTCTGAGAGTGCCTTGGACTGCGAGAAGATCCAACCAGTCCATCCTCCAGGAAATAAAGCCCGACTGCTCACTAGAGGGAAAGATACTAGAGACAAAGTTGAAGTACTTTGGCCACATCATGAGGAGACAGGAAAGCCTAGAGAAGACAATTATGCTGGGGAAAGTGGAAGGCAAAAGGAAGAGGGGCCGACCAAGGGCAAGATGGATGGATGGCATCCTTGAAGTGACTGGACTGACCTTGAAGGAGCTGGGGGTGGTGACGGCCGACAGGGAGCTCTGGCGTGGGCTGGTCCATGAGGTCACGAAGAGTCGGAGACGACTGAATGAATGAACAACAATTTATGCTTATCCTCGCTAATATGGCCACAGGTGAATACCTTTGTTTCTAGGATCAATACATTAGTCCTTGCACTTGTGTTTTTCAGATATAAAATTTCTCCTCTTATTTATTGGTCTTTTCTCCTTTCATCTAACTTCACTAGCTTGTTTAATAAAGCTGAGAGTTCTTGCACAAAGCTTTATAAACACATGTTATTAGATTTTCAAATCTCTTTTGAAAGTGCCTCTATCCTACTTCCTCCTAGTAAAGTGACCTTTTTAAATGGAGGGAAGTGGGTTTAGATGACAGTCATGATAAATGCGGTCATGTTCACTCAATAAAATAAGGCCCAGTGCATTTGAGGATAAATCAGTGAAATGTACAGCCCCACCTGTCTGTCTCCATCATTCATTTCCACTGTCACTTTCACAGTGGCTGATGGATCACAGTTGCTGTAAAATTAGACAGCCTTTAATCTCATTTCATCCTGATTAGCTTCTCTTTACCCTTTCCCTCTAACTCACTGACTGACACGCTAAAAACTCACACTGGGCTGTGTTTGAGCGTGGCGTACAAACTTCTTTTCAAATACCTTTTTTTGAGGGGACAATAGGTACTCACCTGAGATGAAACGAAATGGAAAGATGAGTGAGGCTGAAACTCATATTCAAATAAATCAGCAAAGTAAAGGACACTGTTCAATTAATGAAAGCAGTGATCTGCATCAACAGACTACACATTGACCCATACTTTGCATTATTTATACTCATGAATTCATAGCATATATACTGAAATTTCCTGAAAGGCATCCTGGAGCAGAAGATTCACCAGTGCATCAGATTCCAAAAAACTTGGTACATGTTTTAGCAGTGCTGGAGGGCTTATACTCCTCCAGAGAGGTGACTTCTTCCACTAAGGCTTCCTAGTAAATCGGGGCTAAAGTATCTATTGAGACATTCAGACTGTTTTTCTTTTCTTTGTACAGTAGACCACCATTGGGGGGGGGGGGGGGGGGGGGGGTCGGGTCTAAATACCCTAAGGGCACCAGATCCCATCTGATCTTGGAAACTAAGCACGGTCAGCCTTGATTAGTACTTGGATGGGAGACTGAAATGTTGGCTTTATTTCAGACAGAGGACGTGGTAAACCATGTTCTGAGTATTCCTTGCTTAAGAAAGCCCATTAAAATTGATGCATCACCATAGGTCAATGGGCAATGTGAAGGCACATGCACACAGAGAGAATACCATTGGCTGTGTCTCTCAAGCCCCTCAAACTGGTGGTAGCTGCTTATCTGAAACATGGAAGTCCACAATGGAATTCTCCCTTGACTCCAGGAAGCACAGCTGGTCTTATGGTTCTTTGAACTGTGACTACAACTGCAGACTTTATTTATACAAACAGAATATTTTTTTTTCCAAGTGACATTTGTAGAACTTTCCCTTCCTCCTCTTGCGATTTTCATATGTGCGTATGGAAGAGGATTGTGAGATGTTTATAATATTGAAGTGGGGAGTACTGATACGCTGCCATTTTCACATATTTGGCATATCTAAGATATTTTGGCATTAATCAAATACATTACTGTTGCCTACATGTTGTTACCACTTGGCTCTGAAAATAGTATGCTTCCTATTGTGTTGTGAACTTGACGATGAGACGACTCGGAATGGTATTGTAGTAAGGTTGATGTTTTGATGAGATGTTTTGATAATTATGTATTGTGGATTATTTTATTTGATATTGTACCTTGCACCTGTTTTTCTATGTTGTACACCGCAATAAGTCGCCAGTAGGCTGAGAATCGCGGTATATAAGCGTAGTAAATAAAAAACATTGATTGCTGTATCATTACTTTGTACCCCAGTAAACACTTCAAAGAGCACAGTAAGCACTTTGTTAACATTTGACTGCAAAACCAGAAGGCGCATTGTGTTATGATGCTATGCTGAGGGGTTGCATTCATCTGGGTGGATCAAAACTTGTTCATGGGCTCCATTTTGGTTGGTAAATTGCAACTGTTTTTAAGGCAGAGTTTCAGTAAATACACAAAAGAAAAAATGGCATTTAATTTAATTTGTAAAAGAATAATATATTCCTTACTCTTTGAAATGTCTTATCATCATAGAATTTTTAAAATGCTTATCAACTTCTCTAATGCCAACAAAAGCAGTGCCAGGTTTATTTCATGGTGTTTTCTTTTAAACACAGGTGCTTGTTCAAATTGTCTGAATGTGTAAAAAAGTAAAGAGTGCAAGCTTGTTTGTGGGCTCAAAGAACAGACTTAATCCTAAGTATTAAATTAATGCAGTAATTGTTGTGGACCAATATGAATATAAATCTGCCTATTAAAATTGACTGCTTTCACTGCTGTAGTCCTTGCATATTCAAACTATTTGTCCCAAAAATATAGCATTGAGTTATTTGGAACTACTTGTGTAAGAATTTTATAGATTAACAATGTGTATGGCTGGCCACATAATAGCTGTGTAAGATCTACTAGCAATAAGTAACATTAATTAATGCATTTTCCCCAAACCTATCTGGCTAACAATTGCACAGACTATGAAAATATTTGACCTTTACTGGAAAGTAAATATTCATCTTGCTTATTCATCGTTGCCTTGGCAAAAAATAAAATAAAATAACCCTACTAAGGTGCTTAAATGAAACTACTTGATCTTTCAGAAAATGTGTCCTAAACAAGAAAGCTGCACATATTTCTTATTGTTATTTGCATATGCTATACGGCTCGAGTGCATTGAGAAAAATAAAAGATAATAAAACAAATGAAATGAGAGATATATCACCCAAAATAATCCAAGTGTGAGATAGGCTGCCTCTTTTTTTGGCACTGGCAAAAGCACACAGAATAAGTGCTGGCCCTGAGTCATATTGATTTCCCACTGCACTGGTTTCCTAAGTGCTCTGTTGATCCGTGTCAAGCAATAAGTTCCCTGCCTGTACATGCACATCACCTCCCCATTTGTCCTCACCTAGATTTAAGGTGCCCATATGATGAGATGAACAAGGACATTATTTTTCCTATTGGAGACACTGGGCCAGAACTACCACATATGGCATGATAACTAAAGCTGTGTAAGTGTGAATTTCAACATACAATTCTAGGCAATGTTACATACTACAGAGCAATACATTTTATAGTTTTAAAATTGCAGTTTGCACTACAGCTCTGTCCTGGGAAAAAATATGAGTCAGGAAAAAATCCTATTTTTCTGCCATCCTCAGTAATATTCTTATCCACAAAAAAATAAAAAAAATAAAAAAGACGTTGCAACTCTGGAAAAAACAGGTTTGATTGTTCAACAAAGGAATTCCTGAATAGATTTACTGAAAATGTTAGTGTAGCTGATACCGTTGTACTGGAAATTACGTGTATATGTTTGGAGGGTCATTACATCAGCAGAACCTCAATTTGCTTATTGCTGTGTAAGAGAAAGCTGCTGAATACTCTTGAATTTTCTTGTACAGTGTTGCAAACTGAACAAAGCTTGTTTGGTGTTTTTTGTAATTGTTCTTGTGCCACTGCCTTTAAGAAAAACAAATCTGACTACCTCTAGTACATCTATTGGTAGAGAATTGCAGCTATAGTAAAACCACGTAAGACACAGTTCACAAGCCTGCTGTGTGTAAGCTTCACAGCACAATGGGATGTGGAAGCCACTGTGTCCACAAATAATGCAGAAGCTGACAGTGCTGTGGCTGTTTGATGAGGTTACAGTCAGCATCCAGACATAAACTACATACCAGCAGAAGGTGTGAGTACACTTCCAGTGAGTCACAAACATTAGTAACAACTGTTGTACAGCTTCTGTGCCCTTTTTTTGGTCTCAAATTCTGTGTTTTAGCTGGACAATGCTACAGTTCAATGCAATTACTAGTGTTAAATATGTCTGTACAATATCAAAACAAATTACATGCAAGTATATGGAAGACATTGGTGATAAACTATTTTTGTACCTTCTGGTACTTTCAGAATAGGATACAGATTGAATATCCTTTATCTGAAATACTTGGGACCAGTAGTGTTTTGGATTTCAGATTTTTCCAGATTTTTGCTATATGTGTACATGTATATGCAAATGAAATGTACATATATGTACATAATGAGACATCTAGGAGATGGAACCCAAGTCTAAATACAAAATTTATATATGTTTCATATGCACCTTATGCATATAGCCTAAAGGTTATTTTATATAAGATGTTTAATAATTTTGTGCATGAAACAAAATGTATGTACGTTGAACCATGAGAAAGCCAAAGTGTCACTATCTCAGCCATCCATGTGGACAATTTCAAATTTTGGAATATTTTGGATTTCCAGATAAGGAACGCTCAAGCTGCATTAGTACTGAATCTCAATTAGGACTGAAAAGCAGCTTTTGATTCACTAGGCATACATACTGGAACTGAAAACTGGCTTCATTATGTCTGAATGCTATGTTTGGATCCATCTAAAAGTAAATGCATTGAAATTACCTTGGTATTGAGATGGAATATGATAAACGTTTTCTATTTTATTTACAGTTATGCCATATAATAGTGCCCACCATTGTGTTGTGGAAGTAGAAAATTTCTTGTTTGTATTGGGAGGAGAAGACCAGTGGAATCCCAATGGTATGTATACAACAATATAACATTGAATAAAGTACATATAAATCTCACAGAAGTGCAAAATGATAACTAGAACTAGAAAAGTTTCTATTATTAAGTGTCTTTACTTTATTGATGCAAAGCAGCCCTTCATCTTCATTCTCATCACTAGCCCTGACAGTCTCTCTCTCTCACACATATACATACACACAGTATCAAATATACTCTAGGGCAGTGCTTCTTAAACCTTTTCCACTTGCGACCCACCCCTTTCTGACCAAGTGTTTTTTATGTGACCCCAGTATATGGATATATAAAATAGCTATAAAGTCAAACATGCTGATTTTCCCTTTTTATGAAGTACAAATGAAGCATTTTCTGCAGAGTCCATTATAAACACTGCATTTTGTTGCTAGCAGATTCATGTAAATGTCTAAAACACTCACTGGGTGGTTCTCAGAAAATTTCTACCATTGCCAAATTGAGCTAAGGGGGACCCCATTTGAGGTCAGGATCCTCAGTTAGGAATGGTGACTTCATAAATGTTCTACAGAGAGAAATCAAACAATTCAACAAACATCTAAACAGTGCAAAATGAGAAAAGCATGTCTTGCAAAATTTAGAATATTGTCAAGACATTGTTGAAAAACTTGCATGTGAAGACAGAGTTGCAGATGTAGCAGCATGTGTAAAAGAGACAATTATGACTGAGAAACTATACAACAGCTTGCAGGTATACATTTTCACTTCAAAATGCCAGAAGATCCAGCTGTAGGATCCTAAATCATTAGATGTAGCTATAATGAAATAACACTATATAGTTACTTCTTCTAATGCTACCATAAACATAACTTTTCAAGGTATGTACCTCTTGCCTCCAAGGATTTTCTAAGGCAGTGGAGAACAGGGCAGTGACACATGCCAGGCCCACTCCCTGTAGTGGAGAATGCTACAACAAGCAAATGCAACAGGTTCTCACTTTTTGTCCCATTCCCATAAGAAATCTGGTCCATAACATCACCCAAAGTATATTCAGCACCTTGGAAATCCTCTTTGGGGGAGCTGCATGATTCAAATGATGAGTTTGTGGACATTTTAAGTTATTGCAGTGGTGCAATGACAGCAAAAGTAAATTACATTGTTTTTTGTGTGTGTCGAGAGCAACTTGAGAAACTGCAAGTCGCTTCTGGTGTGAGAGGTTTGGCCATCTGCAAGGACATTGCCCAGGGGATGCCTGGATGTTTTGATGTTTTACCATCCATTAGTATAGTTACATCATCATCATTACTGAACAGAATGCCAGCCCCATATTTCAGTGTTCACTTGTAACCCCCCTATGCACCTGACATTATTATTATTATTATTATTATTATTATTATTATTATTAAACTTTATTTGTACCCCGCTAGCATCTCCCGAAGGATTCGATGCGGCTTACACAGGCCGAGGCCTCAACACACAACACAACAATACAATCTAAGCAAATCAAACAATTAAAAACAGAATAAAGCAAAATAAACAACAGGCACAATACAGTAAACACAATAAAACTGGGCCTGGCCAGAGCAGTGGGTACAAGATTAAAAGTGCTGACGTGACAGGAGGTGTATATAGGGCTTCCAGGGCAAGTGCGATGTGCGATGTGCAGCAATCATTGGTTCTAATAAAGTGCTTGTGGGACTTGGTGGTGGAGATTTCCTAATCTGGGAAGGCGCATCGAAAAAGCCAGGTCTTCAAGTTCTTTCTGAAGACAGCCAATGTAGGTATCTCAGTACATCTAAAGCTGATTCTCTGTGTTTCAAGCTAAATTTAATCTGAAAAGTTAGAAAATGACACAGCTTTCTAAGAAAGGATTGCAGTTTGAATCACTGGGTCCTTCCTGCCACCTCAAAGTCCTAACGTCATATTAGTGAATAGTCTAAGGAATTGTTAATTGACCCAAGGCATTTTAGATTTCAGAATGCATGAACATTTTGTCCTAAGTCCTATCTTTCACAAACTTTATTCACCTGCAGAAGATCTATTCCAGATATGCTAAGAGAATATGCCATATGAATTATGGGAGCTTATATAGAAGGAAGTGGAAACTCTTCCTTCCATAAATGATAAACCTTGGATTCTCCTGCATGTTCAACAAAGATGCCATTTGAAGTGCTGGTGTTTCTGTCATTCACCAGCTGTCACATTATTTCAAATGTTTAGATAAGCTTTTCCAAATTAAGACATTTGGTGATAACTGTTTGAGAGCTTTAACCACTATCTAATCTGCTTTTCTACATTTCTGACCACAGTAATGTCCAAAGTATATGCTATTTCTCCACCACAAAACCAGTTCATTACGCATGATATTATTATATTTTCATTCCCAAAAGTCTTCTGAGTCTTCAACTACTTTTTTTGTTCCTATACTTGTGAAGGGATTCACATAGAAATTATCCAGTAAAAAAAAGACTTCATAAATGTTCTACAAAGAGAAATCAAACAATTCAACAAATGTATGAACAGAGCAAAATGAGAAAAGTATGCCTTGCAAAATTTAGAATATTGTCAAGACATTGTTGAAAAGCTTGCATATGAAGGCAGAGTTGCAGTTGTAGCAGTCTGTGTAAAAGAGATAATTATGACTGAGAAACTATAAAACAGCTTGCAGGTACACATTTTCACTTCAAAATGCCAGAAGATCCAGCTGAAATTACATATACTGCATATATTTTATTGTGAAAGGCCCATTTCAGCATCTGCACAAAAGCAAATTATATACAAGTGTTACATCTGTTCATTTCCTTAAAAACTGAGCTAAATAAACTAATCCAGTCTAAAAGCCTGCTCTCAATAAATATTTATTTATTTACCTGGTGTTCTGGAAGAATAGAATTTTATTTCTCTATCCCTAAATTGTTGCTAAAAGAAAATTATCATTAGAACTGAAACCCACAGAAATAGTACAACAGCGCTTTCCCACATTTAAACTTCATTGACCAAAGAAATCAGGTAAAAATATCTTCTACCAGGTTTTCCTTAAGGCGGCAACAAATTCTTAAGGGTGATTTCTCATCTGTTTTTCCCAACTTGAAATCAGCTGCTTCCAGCTGTATTTCAGGGCTGAGTCAAAATTGTTTGCTGAGCATGGGGAAAAAAATCAAAGCAGCTGTGAGAGATCTGTTTGTCCTGTCTACAGAATTTTTTGAATATAAAAAATGCCTGCCAAATTGAAACAGGAGTGACCTCTTTTACCACCCACTGGTCTGGCTACGTATTTATTAAATGGAGACATTATTCCTCCAGAAACTTATTTAATTCAAGGGATGAGGTGTTACCCCTTCAAAGAAAGGACAGAGATTGAAGCAGACCTGGGAAAAGCCCTCTGACTTTAAAACACCACACAGCTGAGTAAAAATACAAGCAGTTTATTGAAGATAATTAAACAAAGCATTAGCAGGAAAAACACTCCATAGAAATAGGTAAATCCAAGTAGATAGAAAGATAAGCAGGAACAAATAATCCAGGAAATAAGCCCATCAGAGTTCATGAAAAACTAACACAGGAACTTCCAAGGTAAAACTCCAAACTTGAATCATGAAATCAAACAAGGCATAACTTGAGTCTATCCAAGGCAAGGCTACAAGGTTCAGGACATACATCTTGATTCACTTCCAATGTTGCTTCGTCTGGCTACAGATTCTGTAATTGGCACTTTTATCCCCTCATCTACTCTATATCCCAAGTGGCCAGAAAAGGATTTCTTTTCAGCCTTGACTCTGTTATCAGTTTCTCTCTCAGTCTGGCAGAACACCTGAGAGATTGGTGTGTTTGTCTGTTCTGCCTTCAAACATGCCTTCTATCTTCTAGCTCATTAATTTCTGCAGCTGGGCCAGGTGCCAAGCTTTTCTCAGGCTCAAAGTCCTGGGAATTCTCTGGTAACAATTTAGGCCCTCTTCCAGAGACTATACCATCACCCCCAAAGTCTTCAGGAACAGTCTCATCAGCAAAGACACTTTGAACAGGAATCCCATTGTCATTCTCTACATCTAAAGTACTGTCATCATTAGAAACAGCATTGTCATTCCCAACATCCAGAGTATCCTGATCATTAGACACAATCACAGGCTGAACACACTGATCAGTAGACACAATCACACGCTGAACTCCAACAATAATAAACCCACATTGTTCATCATCCATGTTGTTTCATGTAGTCATAGTATATAGATCAGTGGTTCTCAACCTGTGGGTCCCCATATCCTAACAGATGGCAAACTAGCTGGGATTTCAGAGAGTTGAAGCCAAAACACCTGTTGAGAACAGATTGAGAACCATTGATAAAGATCCCGAATTCCTAGATTGCATGATTTCTATTCACAGGAAGAGAATAAATAATTTCTCTTTTAAAAGTAGGAGGAGGAAGTTCACAAAACTGGTTTTTCCCATATTACTAGGATAATGATGATGATGATGCTTCTTGGCAGGCGGTTGGACAGGATGGCCCACAAGGTCTTTTCCAATTTGATGATGATGATGATGATGACGACAACGACAGTGATGATGGGCCATAATCCTTGATCACAATCTATGACACTATCTTATGTATATTTAATAATATACATAAGATAGTATATTGTTAAATATACATAGGGGCTAAGAAATACTATCAGTGAATTGCAAAGATGCGTAACAAGACACCTGCAAGAATATCCTAATTTGCATGAGACTCTATCATAGGTGGTATCTCAATGCACAATGGGACTGATGCATATCAGGTCCCAATGTACATTGATCACTTTGCTGGCTCCCCTAAGTAGCAATTTAACAGCAGTTTCTTATTTCGATATGGAAATTATGGAACTTCCCATATACATTTCCACTTACAAAGACATATATCCGCAATAGGATTCTGGCCATCATCATCATCATTTATATCCCACTTTTGCCATCAATACTGATAAAGAATTTTACAGAATATTTAAACCAGAACAAATTAAAATATACCAACCCTATATATATATATATATATATATATATAATGGAGCCCCCGGTGGCGCAGTGGGTTAAAGCTGAGGTGCTGAACTTGCTGACCGAAAGGTCACAGGTTTGAATCCGGGGAGTGGTGTGAGCTCCTGTTGTTAGCCCCAGCTTCTGCCAACCTAGCAGGTTGAAAACATGCAAATTTGAGTAGATCAATAGGTACTGCTTCAGCGTAAAATTAAGGCGCTCCATGCAGTCATGCCGGCCACATGACCTTGGAGGTGTCTATGGACAACGCTGGCTCTTCGGCTTAGAAATGGAGATGAGCACCACACCCCAGAGTCAGACATGACTGGACTTAATGTCAGGGGACTACCTTTACCTTTATAATATATATATATATATATATATATATATATATATATATATATATATATATATATAAACAATCAGTCAAATTAAAGGCATTTTATTTCTGGAGGATTTCTTTGAATATCTTTCCTAAGTACTCATCTTCCCATTTTTATAAATGAGAGTATTGCTATGTGGAGCATTCCTTTGAACCAGACAAAGAAAATCTTACTATTCAACATCCTTGGTGGTCACTTCCCTCCTTTTTCCTCATTTTAGGAGAGGCAAAGAGGAAAAGGAAGTAGGAAACATTTGGGTGGGGGATGGAAAGTCTGCTTGACATTGCCTTTGTTGATATGTGCTATATGAATGGGATTCATCTACTAACACTGCTTTGAATAATGTTTCTAGGAGCACAACATTTTTTATCTTATTCCTTCCCTCTTATAAATGGAAACACGTTTTCATTTATGTCCAAAATCATTTACGTTCAAAATGTAAAAACCACTGTTCTAAAGTTCAGTGCTTAACTGAAGGAGGTAGAATAGAAAATATTCTTTTCCTGAAAAAAAAGAGAAAAAGAAAAATATTTGAAGAGGTAGTGGGGGTTATCAAGAAGTGAAGATGCAATAAAATTGTGATTTTATTTTTGTAAAAAAAGGTAAATATAGAATTAATCTTCTTTCAGGAAAGCACAGTACAAACTTTGTCAGCCGATATGATCCTAGGTTTAACAGCTGGATACAGCTTCCACCTATGCAAGAGAGGTAAATGTTTATTCAACATTTTGTTGGAATGGTATCATGGGGAGTGATGTTGTTGTTTTCCTGGGAAGGGACAGTGGTTTCTCTTAGTTACCTCCTCCTTAAATTTGTCTTAGACAGGAAAAGCAAATTGGCATGGTGAAAAAAGGCTCCTGAGTTTCTGCCACCCTTGTTTTATTTAGGAATTTAAAACATTTCTGTAGCCAGTTTCTGTGTGTGTCTGAGGGAGAGAGAGATTGAGTGTGTGTGTGTAACCAAATGGCTAACAAAAGTTTCCTCTTCAAATCAGCAGTGATATATTTAAAAATAACATTTAAAACAAACAAATGCAAAATTAGCAAAAGGATTTATAAAATTACCTGCAGAACTTTCTGAAGGAAAATAAGAAAGAGCCTCACCCGACAAAAGTAGGAAATCTATCCTGCGTCTTTAGAACCATAACAGTAACAGCCAGGGCCAACTAGTGAATCACTTTTGATTTTACATCTGCTTCTCTGTAAGTTGTTCCAGAGGTGTGGCAGGGGCTGAGGGAAGAAACAGACACATCGCCCCTCCAAATAAGAATTCTGTTCCACCAAATGAAATTTTATTGCAACCCCTAAATTTACAGCATTGCAATAACTTAAAACTTTTAGTTTAGCATTTAGAAATACAGTTTAGGTATCCAAAGACAAGGGTCAGGCAAGAAAAAAGGGAATGTAAATAAAGCACATATAAAAATTCCAATGTCTCAGTCTCTGCAAAAGTTCATAGGGTGGGGGGAGGCAAATTCTTATTGGAGGATTCTGTCACTTATTTCTTCTCAGATACAATCCTGCTTAGGTAGCTGGTGGATTTGCTGTTAAGAGTGGCAATAGAACCACTCCTCATTTAACTACCTCTCCTTCTAGAGCTCTGATACTACTTGGCCACACACATCCCAGGTTACATCTGTGAAATGTTGCAGGCTATGGATTTATTGCCCTAATAGTCTACTGTCACTGCTGGTACACGCTCAACTTCACATATGTTTTTTTCTAACTTCACCTAAAGTGAGAATCTTGGTTAAAGAGCCACAATTGTAGCAAGAGGGGAGTTTGAATAATTAGAAATGCACTGCTATTATGCAAATCATTATCTTAGTCTTAAGACACAGATGAATAGTATATAAAGCATTTGGGGATACCCTCTAGCTAGGACATCCATAAAAATTGAAGATGTTCAGATCATTATCCAGTTGAACAAATCTACTTGTCGCAGTCTCACTGCCTCTAACTTCAAGCAGTCAGAGTTAGTGTCCGTAAAGATTATACCATGAGTTACAGATTGGACATCCTCAGCATTTTCTTATATGCCTGTCTCATATTTAAAATATAATTTAAAATACAGAGAAGTTCAAAAATCTGTTTGAATGTTGTCTTCTAATTATCAAAATCATTTTTGTGCTGGGGCTTTATAGCAAGATAATTAAACTTAACCTCCTCAACTGAGGCTACATAACTCATAGAGTAATCAATTATTTCAATGTAGTAAGAGCCTTTGAGGATAGACAGCATTTCTGAAAACGTGATTACACATTTTAAATATATGTGAATTGTTTACTGACTAGTCATGGCTTCCTTAGAGACTTACAATTTATTAAGTCAATTGCCTCCCAAGGCAGATTTTAGCAGTTAATATTTTTAATATAGAGCTTTTATGCACTTCTGCCATTTTTCTGATAAAATATCTGTCAAGCACAATATTAATTTCCCTGTACACACCAATAAAACAAGGGTGATTGATTGATTGATTGACTGACTGATCAATCGATCGATTAACAGCATTTATAGGCTGAGAAAGTTTTGAGGCTAGTCCATAAAAATCTTTTTAAATCAAGAAGAGTAAGCAATAAACAACAGATCAAACAAACAGCGAAAGATTATGGCTCAGCCTTGTCTTTGATCAAAGAGATTCCTCTCACCTCATCAAAAACACAGACCAATCACCTTCATCCATGAGTCAAGAGGAACCATGTATTGATTTATAGGTTCATAGGGTGATGAGCTAATCACCAAACATATGCAAGTAAATATTAGTTTAGTTCTCACAAGAAAACTTGCATTGTCACCGAGGGAGAAAAACAAAGGACAGTGGTTCAGTGGGGTAAACCACTGAGCTGCTGAACTTGCTGACAGAAAGGTCAGCGATTCAAATCCAGGGAGCGGGGTGAGCTCCCTCTCTCAGCCCCAGCTTTTGCCAACCTAGCAGTTCAAAAACATACAAACGTGAGTAGATCAATAGGAAAGTTATAGTGCTCCATGCAATCATGTTGGCTACATGACCTTGGAGGCGTCTATGGACAACGCTGGCCCTTCTGCTTAAAAATGGAGATGAGCACCAATCCCCAGAGTTAGACATGACTAGACTTAATGTCAAGGGGAAACTTTATCCTTTATCAGTTATACAGTCTTTAGTTGAAATGTAGTGTGATTCTGTTTTGTCCTTGAGCAGTTACTTTGTATGTGTAAAGGTAAATGAGACCTAAGTTAGGCTACTGATGTTAACACAGACCTCAGCGCATTCCTTACCTATGAAGGTTCTTTGAGTGAATGTTCTATTCAGCCATGCATTTTTCCCTCTGTCTCTATAGTAGCAGCTTCTCTAGAAGTTAATGACCTGAGCTTTACATGGGTTTTCTGCGATAGTTGGTAAGCAGAATTAAATGTTAAGGTGCTGGCTGTGCTCTCTCAGCTAATATAACACAAGTGTTAGGTATCTTTGCTTCTACCTGTCCCCAGTGGTGCAGTGGGCTAAACCCTTGTGCCAACAGGACTGAAGACCAATAGGTCAGAGGTTCGAATCTGGGGAGAGTGCAGATGAGCTCCCTCTGTCAGCTCCAGCTCCCCATGCAGGGACATGAGAGGAGGCTCCCACAAGGATGATAAAACATCAAAACATCCAGGTGTCCCCTGGGCAACATCTTGCAGACATCCAATTCTCTCACACCAGAAGCAACTTGGAGTTTCTCAAGTCACTCCTGATATGAAAAAAAAAAATCCAGAAAGTTCTAAAAAGTTTATCCTAGAGTCTTCTCAGGTCCATCCTTAATTTGCAGAACACCAAGACAGCAATTGTGGCTAAACCACTCTTACCTGTTTAGTAGGGATTTAACATTTCCTTTCCTGACATGTGGTAAGCCCAAATGATGTGAAAATTGGCCAGCCAGTATGGACACACATTGAGATGCCAGTTAGTTTTATTGTTCATAATAAATGAAAAGAATGAGAAACTTATGTAATTACTTTTTGTAAGAAGTACCATAATATACTATTGGATCAAAATCACTTGAGCTGACAGTGTCCCGCTCTTGGCATTTGTATGATCAGTAATAACTCTCTTAGCTATTCCATCTAAGACTGGTAATCAAACTCCAGTATTCAGGGCATAAATTCATTGCCACTGGGAATCAGAAGAGACTTTCTTTTTACTTTTCTTCTGTAACTGCATTGTAAAATTTTGCTAAGTTCATTACAGAGACTTTTCATAAGCCACTGCAAGACTTGTAGCTGGACCAATATCCTGATCCACTAGAGTAATTTGATGTAATCTCTTTTAGTAGAGATGACAGTATATTTCTAGGGACCAGATGTATGTGAGGGGATGATATCTTTTCTAAACTGAATTTTAGTGCAGTATTTTAGCATGGAGGATTTTTTTTATAGCAATTAAATTTTACATTAATTAACCAGAACTCTATGGCTCAAGTATAATTTATTTAGTGGAAAGGAAAGATAGGGGAAACTTAAAATCTTTACCATTGGGAGTTTGCCCATAAAATACACATTTAATCTGAAAAATGAAGCAGACTGTTACATTTTTGCTCCAAACACTGACACTGTGTGGATAAAATCAAGAATGCATATAAGCATTACATTTGTTAGGAACTTGTGCCTAAATACAGCAAAAATTGCTAGAAAACACAGACAAAAAAAACTGGCACCAAATGTTAAACAATCTATTCATTCTTATTTTAAAAAAACCTGAATTTTAATAGTTTACATTTTGTCCTTAAATACTTACAGCACATTGTAATGAGTCTGAGCTATTTAGTAATTGCCTTCATATGAGACTCAGGTCATGCAAGCATTAAAAGTCATATAATGCTGTCAGTTCTACATATGAAAACAAGTCAAGAACAACCCTGGTATGTGTGTGCGTGTGTGTGTGTGTTTCTAAGTAAATATTTACACATTCATTTGCAAGCCTTAAATATGCAATAAATGAGCCCTATAATACAACATTGCTATACTTCCTCCAGTTTGAAAAGGACTGTTCTTATTCAGGATTCGGGCCAACCACTATGTTTCATCTGTCATTCTATGAAGCCTGCTAACTCTCCCCTGTTTTTCAATACTTCCATTTGGCGGCTATCCTGCCAGGGTTCTCCAAAAATGAGAAAAAATCAAATTTGGTTAGAGGCTGTGATTTGCTAAGACAGCCTTCTGCAACCTGATTCTCACCAAATGTTTTAGACTGAAACTCATAGCACAACCCCAGGGGTGGTCAAGGATAACATGACTTGTCCCAAATGCCTAGGAGACAGCCACCATATCATGGAAGGATTGAGCAAAATGCATATTTCTACTGAAAATGGGTTTTCTTCAGCTTTTTTCTCTGTATTATCCATTTTTGTGCATGCATACAGAAAAGACAAAAGGGTATTTTTAGTGTCATGTGAGAACTGCTGATAATAAATAGTGAATCCTCCTGTTATGTTTTTGAAATGAAAGTGCCTTTTGTAAGCAGTGAAGACGACTTGCACATACTATGGTATTTTCTGTCAATAATGATTCCTGGCTGAAGTCATAAATTCTCCTTACATCAAAAAAAAAATCAAAGAGATAAGAAAATAAACCTGTGTTGTAGGGCAGGGTTGATAATACAAAGAAAGTTGTTCTATTTGCAGTAGTGCAGAGAGAAGAAAAAAATGATAATTGAAGAAAAAAAATCTGATGATGTGGTTCTCTTAGTAAATTGGGAACAATGACCCTTGAAGGACCATAAAGAAAGTGAATGTCAAGATAATTTATTATTGTTACATTATCTATCCCATTTTTTTAAACTTTGTCTTACTGAGTTGTTATATCCTTCCATGGTACCATATGCTTCAAACATTAATGACTTCACTATTTAAGTCCATTCCTGGCAATAAAATCAGCTGGTGCCTTTCAAGGTAAAATTCTCCTTTTGTGTATGCTCTTTGGTATCCCTAGAAAGAATGTATTATTCTGAAAGATCAAACAAGGAGCACTCAAAAATATTCCCAACTTCACAATCCAGTCACCTGGATCAGGAGCTCTCACATGCCCATTTCTACTTCCTATCTCAAGAACACTTTATTACATTACATTATGTTATATTACTTACAGTATTTTATATTCCGCCCTTCTTACTCCAAAGGGGATTCAGGGTGGATCACAGAACACATATACGGCATTCAATGCCATTATACACTGACAGGACAGACAACAGTACAGATAGAGATATATAGATTTCTCCCATCTTCGGCATCTTGGAGATTGTGCTCGAGTCCAGCCCGGGGGGGGGGGGTGCTGTCACTCCATCCTCTATGTCAAAGAGCCATGTTCACAGACTTCTTCCTTTTCTGATCGAATTGTCTGCATTTTCTGGTATTTCCTTGTTCTGCCATTAAAATACCTACCTGCTTAAGTGGTACATATTTATATACTCACACCTGGTTTTGATCTGCTAGGTGGGCAGTAAGCTGGGCTGAAGATCGGGTGCTCCTCTCCCCCCAACCCAGCCTTCAAACTGCCAACCTTTTGAATGGCAAGATTTATTGCAGCTGGTGGTTAGCTTGCTGTGCTAAAGCAGACATTTCTTGCAGAAATTGCTTTATATAAATTCCCTTATTTTAGTGTTTGACTGAACAGTTATTCCATTGAATTACCTGAGCTAGCACCTTAACAAGAGCAGTATTGAGGGTTCAGTAGATATGACACAAGATTCATAAGGTGTGTTCTAGACACCTTGGAGACACTGTTGGCAGGTATGACACTCAGACTGTGCATACTGTAAGAAAAGTGTCAAGGGCATCATTGTGGGGTCACAGGGTGCTAGTTCACAGTAATTTTCTGTCAAAATCTCCTCCCACTATCTTCAACTGCCATTCCTCTGTCCACTAAATGGGAGGCAGCAAGCCAGACAAAGCTCCATCCTATCTTATTTATTATGACATCTCATTTAGATGTCTGAGAGCAAATTAAGTAGCACTGAGAGCCTTTGCAGCTGAAAAGCGGAGTATAAATATTCTAAATAAATAAATAAATCTCATTAAAATATCACCACATGGTACATTTGCATCACAACCTCTGATCTCAGCTAGTTTGGTGGCAGTCAGATGTCCATACAGTGTGCACTGAGACGTCACAGTACCTTGATGGAGTCCGCATGGCACAGTGCGGCTGAACCAAGACGTAAACAGTCACAACGATTTTCATAGTTATTGTGTATTCCCTGGGCTCAGGCAGGCCATGGACACGGAATAGCATTCCCTCCTCCCTGTCCTCCTCATTATTGCTGGTTGGTGTAACATGGTTCATGTCAGTTGCAAGTCACCTTGAGTGGTTCTGTCCTCAGCAATGAGGTGATTGAAGAAAGAGGGGAGAGGAAGAGGAGGCAATTCTTCTTCTTCTCTCCTCCCCCCACTCCCCTGTGTCACTCTGGTGTCCCAGCTGACATCACTCCAGGTGATGGGTGACAGACACAAGCCATATCTGGCCCATTGACTGCCATAACCAAAAGAAAAGGAGGGACAGTATGGGTGATCATTCAGGAGCACTGAACCAGGCTTGATGCTGCTGGATGGCAGCCAGAAGGAGGATCATAATCTAAACCATCTTAGAACCAATCCACCATTCGGCACTCTGGATCAGCCCTGGATTAGTGGACAGGTAGATCCACCTTCAGTTCTCTTCATCAGATGCAACACTATATTCTCCATACAATAGATCATTACACAAATTCATATTAGCTTCCCCTTTAGTTATCTTTTCTCTTAGCTAAACAGTTCCGCATGTTCCAGCTTTCTTCACAGGGGAGTTGCTGTTTCCCCCTGATCAGTGTGGCTATGCTTCTCTGCATTTTTTCCAGCTGTGCCATATGGTTTTTTAGATGTGGCAATCAGAATTGAACACAACACTCCAAGTGTGGTTGCACCAAAGATTTATGCCACCTTATGCTTTACAGTATTATTTTATTTTTATTCCCTTCTTTAATGTCCTCTTCTTAATTAAGGAATTGGAATGGAAGGCTCCATAATCATTGCAAAGGAGCAGTTTTTAGAACTGAGATGATAACCAAGGGTAAGGAGAAGATAGGGGTACAAGAAGTTCAGCAGGGAGGAGATTGTTTGGTGAGCAAATGTTATTAGAACAGCAGCTGATACATTCTGTAAGAATTAATTAATTCTAGTCTTTATAAACTAACTGCTCTGTTTGTTTGTTTTTTTCCCTAGGAGGGCTAGTTTTTATGCCTGTCGGCTTGACAAAAATTTGTATGTGATTGGTGGAAGGAATGAAACTGGCTATTTATCAAGTGTAGAGTGCTATAATTTAGAAACAAATGAATGGCGTTATGTATCTTCCCTACCACAACCCTTAGCAGCACACGCAGGAGCTGTACATAATGGCAAGATTTATATTTCAGGTCAGTATAATCTTCTTGATCTCAAAAGAAAATTCTGTGTAAAAGAATTGTGCATTTTTAATGGCTATATCCTCATTTTGACTAATTCAGATATATTTGTTTTGTAGGTGGTGTCCACAATGGTGAATATGTTCCCTGGCTGTATTGCTATGATCCTGTAATGGATGTCTGGGCTCGAAAACAAGACATGAACACAAAAAGAGCTATCCATGCATTGGCTGTAATGAATGATCGGCTGTACGCAATTGGAGGAAATCATTTGAAAGGTCACATTTTTATTAGCAAAACAATATTGTACCCTATATTTTGATAGAAGCTATTCGTGTTCTATTAGTTATAGTTAACTGTGTTACAAACCCATCACATAATGTAACATGAGACTTGAACCAGCTTTAGTAAAAAAAGAAAAAAGAAAAGAAAATATAACCATCCATTAAATGAATGAATAATGAATGCTTTGGATAATAAAAACAGGAACTTCCATTATTCAGAACCATAGACAATTTGTCATCACTATGAATTCACTGTAACAAACAGATTATTTTTGACCTGAATTGCTAGCACTATTTGCCTCCGTAAATCATTTCCCAAGATGAGAAGCTGGAAAAGAAACTATACTTGGGTTCCATAGAGAAACAATTCTTAGATATCAGAAGAAAAATATTAATCAAAAACCTACAACGGGCATGTATAACATTGTACCATTGAAATCCCCATTGCCCTTAAAAATTACCCCTCTTTCTCTCAGAGGCCCTTTCGGCACTGCCATATACAATCCATATCATTTGCTTTGAACTGAATTATATGGCAGTGTAGACTCATGTCCATTCTACACTTCCATATAATTTGGATTATCAAAGCAGAGTCTACACTGCCATATAATCCAGTTCAAAGCCGATAATATGGATTTTATATGTTAGTGTAGAAAGGGCCCTCAGTTTTGTGGGGGGTTTGTTTTGTGGATTTTTGTGGGGGGGGTTGTGTTGTTGTTTTTTTCCCACTGCAATGTAAGGAATGACATGTCTTTTATATCCAAGCAGTCAGTTCACAATAAAGATCTTAGACTGATTGGAATTGGGAAGCTCGATCTCACAGGGTGAAAGCAGCCAATGATAGATCCAACCTCTAATTTCCTCCTGTTCTTTACTTCCAATTACAAGAAGAATGTCACCTCCTTGCTCCCATAAGAATTTTCAAAGCATCAGGCAGTGGCAGAGGCAACTTTTAAAATTTCATTTTCAACTACTGAGGATGAAAGGATAACACTTCCCCTATTTCCTCTTCCTTCAGTAAGGCTTTTGAAAATACTCCCTTAATGCAGTCTCCTAATTGTAGCAAATGATGGACTAGGAAAAGAGGGAGACTGCATTATAAGGTGGATCAACTCAATCAAGGAAGCCATGCTCCTGAGTCTAAAAGACCTGAGCAGGGTTGTTGATGATAGGGTGCTTTGGAGGTCTTGCTCTCATTCGTAGGATTGCCATAAGTTGAAGTTGACATGATGACAGTTGAAAAACAGTATACACTGTTGGGGCACTGAATTTGTTCGTTTATTTGTTCATTCAGTCATAGCATTGTTTTGTCTTCTCTACAAGGCCATACAAATGAAGACAAAAGATAGTTATTTATCCTGACCAAAATATATATAATATAATTATAATGTCTATCAAGTTCTCGTGTGCCCCAGAGGGTAGAATCAAGTCTGATGGTTTAAAATTACAAGAGGGTAAATTCTGATTGAAAATTGGAAGGAACGTCTTAATGATATAAGTTGTTTGGCAATAGAACCAATAGTCTGGAGAGATGCTGAGGCTGTCTTCTCCGGATGTCTTCAAAAAAGTAGGCAGATAACTATCTCCTGGAGATGCTTCTCCTGGATATCCTGCATTGAGCAGTGGGGTTGGACTTGGTACCCCACGAGGCTCCTGGATCTCTATAATTTTTCTGTGATTCTTCTGACTTAATTAAACAAATGAAAGCTCTGTGATAGGTATTAACTTTTCCAGTTTGAGTACTGATGTACAGCATTACCTTCTAGTGCACTATGCCCTCAAACCTACTAGATTAAAATTCTTATCAATGTTGTTACATTAACACAGTACTTATCTGATAGCTGTTTAAAACCAGTGTTACATTTTTATCAATATAGTAAAGCAAAGTTATTTGAGTTCCGTACAATAAGCCACAATCACTGATTGGCTTAATGTAATTTAGAAAGGCAAAAATTCTGCTTTTTAGGGTAGAACCTTTTTAGAAGTATAAAATTGTCATAAATACAGTGTCTTTTTATAATGCCCATTCTCTTAAACTTAAGAGATTCACATTATTTTATGAACATGTAATGCAGGGTTTTCACACCTTGATGTCATGCTTGTGGAATGCTATGACCCAAAAGGAGACCAATGGAATATTTTGCAGACTCCTATTTTAGAGGGTCGCAGTGGTCCTGGATGTGCAGTCCTTGATGACAGCATTTACCTTGTTGGAGGCTACAGTTGGAGTATGGTAAGTATGTCTAAAAATTGCAAACCCGTGGTCTTCTAACTTTATATCTTGTAGAAATATACTTATATGAATAAATTGTTGTCAGAATTTTTAAGGTAGGCAATGTTACAGATTGAGTATCCCTTATCTGATATGCTTGGGACCAGAAGGGTTTTGGATTTAAGTCTAAGCACAGAAAATCGGCCAGTACTCAATACTATGAAAGTTGTATTTTGGAGAGACAACAAATAGTCTTTGGCAGAGAAGGCTAAAGTCTTTAGGAGGAGCTTGAAGATGTGGTTGTTCCAGTGTGCCTTCCCAGAATAATAATCCCATAGCACTTTGTCGTCCAAAGCACTTTACACTTTACACAGACAGCTTAGATGTGTATTTGTCCCTCTACATTTGTTATCTCTAGGAATCTCTAGGTCCTCCAATGTGAAGCTATGGTCAACTTCTTTCAGTTATGCTGGAGGACCTAGACACATCTAGAACAAGGGTCTTCAAACTTTTAAAGTGGGGGGCCAATTCATAATTCCTCAGAGTGTTGGGGGGGGGCAAATTATAATTTGGAAAAAAATGAACTGATTTCTATACACACTGCACATATCTATAATTTAAAAAATGAAAGGCAAAACAATATTTAAAATGAAGAACAATTTTCACCAACATGAACTTACCCATCTTTCAATGGGAAGTGTGGGCCTATTTTTGGATGATGAAATAGTCAAGATAATTAGGATTGTTGTTGTGTGCCTTCAAGTAATTTCAGACTTAGGGCAAACCTAAGTCAAAAGTTTAGGGCAGGGGCCAGATAAATGACCTTGAAGGGCCGCATCTGGCCCACAGACCTTAGTTTGGGGACACCTGATCTAGAAAGAACAACTCTTTAGAAATCTCTAGGTCAGCTTCTAGTGGAAATGCTGGGAGACGATGCATTTCTAAAGAGGTTTTCTCTCAGATAAAAAAACCCCTCACCAATTCATTATTCAGAATTTTCTTTTCCACTGAGGTCTTGAGCCCCTATCCCCCATTGAATGAGGAAGGCTGACTGTAAAATCTAAACACTTGAAGTATAAAGTAATTTTTCTACACAGATTTTGCTCAAATGTTATTTATCAGCTTAGCTCAACAAGACTTTGTTTTATTGCAGGGGGCCTACAAATCTTCCACAATTTGTTACAGTCCTGAAAAAGGAACCTGGACAGAGCTCGAAGGAGATGTAGCAGAGCCACTTGCAGGCCCTGCTTGCTCTACTGTCATACTACCTGCATGTGTTCCATACAATAAATAACAATTTAGAAGTACTGAAAGGTGGAAAAGCACTGTCACGTTCTGGAAAGGAAAATGGTAACATAAATATTTTACAGAACAGAATTCCTGGTACCGCATACAAGACCCTATAACTACACCCACATTTATGATTTTAAAAGAGGACTAAGTATAGTGCCTGCCTTTGATAGACTGAAATCTTTTCAGACAGCTAATAATACATGGAACATTGCCCACTTGGACATACAGCCATGTCAGGTCAATCTTAACTTCTTCTTGCTATAGACCCATATATTGATTCTAAATGTAAAGGAAAGAAGATGCTAACCATCCAAATACTGCCTGGATGAACTTGAGTATTGTTGTGCATTGTATTTTACCTGCATGGGATCAGTATTGGTCATTATGATGCTGTTCACAAGTAATTCAGAACCAAGATGCATTGAATTGCAGGTCTTCTGAACTAGGGCTGCGTCTCATGCTCTACAAGTAATAGAGCTTCAGAAAGACGGTCCTAAGAGGTAATGTTAAAATGTTGTTTCTGTCTTGAACAAATCAGCTGCTTGTGCAATCTGCCCTCAAGTCCCCATGTGCAAATAATTAAAAGAAATATATAAATAACATCATATTTTTTAGACTAATTCAAACAGTTAGAACCACCTGACTCAGTATGGTGGGTCATAAACAGTTGTTAGACTCCAAGGATTGAATCTAGGGGGGGTTTAATATGCAAAGTATGTGTTCTGTTACCAGTCTGACCCCTTATTCCCAAAGTTGTGCTGAGTTCAAAGACACTTTGAAGTTCTCATCATTCTCTGAGTGTTTCTACCATTCAGTCAGACATAAGGAGTAGCAGAAGTTTGATAATGAGTTCAAATTTTGATTAAAAATGGAGACTACTCAAACTCTGAGCTCTGCCTATGAAAAGATGTAATTGCATTGGGAGGAGAGTTTATTGTGGCATCACCACTAGTCCATTCCTAGACATTCACATTTTATATAATAGGTGGTACCACCAGAAATATTGCTAAATTGAATATGTTTTTTCCAACCAGCCATACTCTCTTCCAGGTACCTCATTCCATTCCCAAAATCTCTTTTTCTATTCCTCACCTACATGCTGTAGATACGTTAATGTCTAAAAATGGTGGAGCCATAGGAGGAAATGTGGAGGTTTCTCAGTTTTTTAAGAGGAACAATTGTGAATCATTGAAGAAATGCAATATTGCTACTCACTACAATTTGAAAGTCACCTTTTCTCTTTAAGAACATGAAGTGTATCACTTGGTTTGGCTTGAGATGATCATGCTTAGTACATTACAAGTCCAGTTTAATTCAAAATAATTAAATATTCCATTTTTTATTTTTACAAATTGAGCTAAAAAGTTCTTTACGGTAAGGAACATTTGACTTGTAAATGAACCTTTTTGGCTTCATCACTATGTAAAAATCAAGCAACAATCAAAACAGGGGGAAACATCATCAACATTGTCTCCTGTAATCCTCCATAACATAAATCAGACATAATGCACCCATTCCCATAAATAACAGAGAAAAGGAAACCAGGGCCAGTTCTGATAGTGTACATCAATGCTCCTGTTATGTGGGAGAAGCACAATTTTTCTCTCTAATGCATCAGGGACCAGCACCAAATGTGTGCCCATTGGTTACAATAGTTTATTTCCTGGAAACTTGCCACAGACTGGTAGCCCAGCACCAATCTAGGACCATCCTTTTGAGTAGCACTGATATGTGTAAGAAATAGATATAGGAATATCTTCATTTATCATTCCAAAAGAAATGTTATTGGCTTTTTAAGGCTTCAAAAATGTGTTGTATGCGTATTCTTTCCTGTTTTTCCTTTATTTTCCCATTTTTTTTCTGTTTTCTACCCTGAGGTTTTCATATGGGTGTGTCTGTATGTGTTTTATTCTCCTGCCTCTTATACCATTACTTTTCTCACCAGATATATGGTTTTGCTTAAATTAGCACTGATGCCTTATGCAAATTCTTTTATAGTCTTGCTTATACCACCAAGCATATGGACATTCTCTTATCCCCAATCCTGCAACTTTTTTTTCTGTCACATTGCTATGGCCATCACTGCACAAATGGACACACAGAGACACAAGAATCCCAGGGGCCAAAAAACAGTATTAGCAGGGTTGAGCAAAAGTTGAGCAAAACAAAATAGATTACTCATTTAACTCTAGCTACACTCTTACCTTCAAAAACTATTAACTCAGACTCTTAACCCCACTTACTAATTTCTAAAGCTCATGGATTTATCTTTAATTTGTTCACACCAATCTATCAACTATCAATTAATTACCAGACGAACTACTATCCTTATTCAAATCCTTGCAAATATTCCCTTATTACTTTACACACATTTCATTCATTCATCTAGCCCTTTCCACAAGCTCCTTACCTGATTACTATAAGTATACCATAGATATATACACAAATTACATAAATAAATAAAACAATATTTCACAAAAAGTCCACATCACCACAGGGAAGTAATTAAAACTGCTTTCTTCCCTGCTTAGAGGTTTTTGTTTGCAAAACATTTTTTTCTATTCCAGCAAATAGCAGTATTCCTTGAAGCATTCAAATACAGTAAGCTCTCTTATTCACATATTCAGTATCTATGGTTTCACTTATCTATACTTGAGAAATATCTACCCACGCCTGGAGGTATTTGTGGGCCTGTCTAGGTCCTCCAGTGCAATTCTGTGGTATTTTTACAGCCCAATATAGTCCAAAAATAAAGGGTCCATGATTATCTGTAGTTTTGGGTACCCTGGATGTCTTGGAATTTATCTGACATCGCTGTGGAGTACCTCCCCTTTTACTCACATTAACTACAGTCCTTAGCAAATTCACTGTTAGAGAGAATGATGCTTCATGGGCCGTTGGAGGACTTTCCCATTGCTCCAAATTGCTGTCTCCATTATCAGATTAATTAGGTATATACCAGATTTTATACACAACATATTTACTTAGAAATAATCAATGGCCCTCAGGCTCAACCAACATGATTTAGACTTTACATACTGTAGCATCTCTTGTTTGTTTCTACACACTGACGTAAACAGAAACTTTGTAAACTGAGATTGGCAATGTGATTTTATTCTTAAAGAGGTAAAGTAGCCCAGGGCTTGCTTGCTAGGAATCATGTGGCCATTTTTATATTAATTCTGTACTGGGAAAGACACTTGTCCCCTTTCTCTTCTGTCTCTTATTAAATTCAGTTCAGATCCCTTGGATAACACCTGGCAGAAGTATTTTCCATTTTAGGATAAATGGAGTAGAGTGCCAGTGTTGGTGACAGAAGTTCCTATTTATCCTTCCTGGAGTCATAGAATCATAGAGTTGGAAGAGACCTTGTGGGCTGTCCAGTCCAACCCCCTGCCAAGAAGCAAGAAATTATCATTCAAAACACCCCTGACAGTTGGCCATCTAGCCTCTTCTTAAAAGCCTCCAAGAAGGAGCCTCCATCACACTCCAGGGCAGAGAGTTCCTCTGCTGAACAGCTCTCACAGTTAGGACGTTCTTCTTAATGTTCAGGTGGAATCTCCTTTCCTGTAGTTTGAAGCCATTGTTCCTCATTCTAGTTTCCAGGCCAGCAGAAAACAAGCTTGCGCCCTCCTCCCAATGACTTCCTCTCACATATTTATACATGGCCATCATGTCTCCTCTCAGCCTTCTCTTCTGCTAAACATACCCAGCTCTTTAAGCAGCTCCTCATGGGGCTTGTTCTCCAGACCCTTGATCATTTTAGTTGCCCGTCTCTGGACACATTCCAGCTTGTCAATCTCTCCCTTAAATTGTGGTGCCCGGAATTGGACACAGTATTCCAGGTGTGGTCTGACCAAGGCAGAATAGAGGGGTAGCATGACTTTCCTGGATCTAGACACTATGCTCCTATTTATGCAGGCCAAAATCTCATTAGCTTTTTTATCTGATATTGTTGGCTCTTGTTTAACTTGTTGTCCACAAGGACCCTGTGATCTTTTTCACACGTACTGCTATCAAGCCAGTTATCCCCCATTCTGTATCTTTGCATTTCATTTTTCCAAGTCTTATACCACATACTAGAAGCCTCTGCCACATGTCAACATCTCATAAAATCAAGCCATGGATGTTGTTTTCAAACCACTCCAAAAGATATCCTGAATACAAATATATTAGAATCATTCCCACAAATTCAATAGCAATCTTCCAGTATATTCCGTTCATCTCCCCTACAAGCCCATGAGCTCTATGAAATAAGAATATATATCTATTCAAAGTACAAGGCAGTGCAGAATCAAACCCAGCTTCCCAAAAACTATTAAGTACAGAAGTTAGCAACAATGATGCATAGGTGAGAAACAAAGGCACAAAATACACAAGTCACAAGAAGTCATAAATCATAGGTCAAAAGAAAGGAAATTATTTCCACATTTGGAAACAAATCACATCTTAAGACTTACTCTCCTAAGAAAGTGATAAAAATTAAAGATTAATATATTGGATGTCTTTTAAACCATATTGCTATTCCATTGTTATTAGTAGAAAGTACTGCAACTACTATTAACATCATTGTTTTCCAGTGTTAACTCTATTGTTTTCACTTCAGCAAAGTGAGCAGAGAAATTGGGGAGGGGCATCGTGAAATCTCTGTTAAAGAATTCCTGAAATTATGTATGTTCCAGAAACACAACCCATTTTCTTATCTTGTGCAAACTCTGATGGTTTTGTGTTTATTTGTATTGTTCAGATCAAATGAATTCCTTGTAAAATAATACTTTGTGCAATCATAAGGGGGGAGGGTGTTTAGAAATATGTATGTATATAAAAATATAAGAAGAGGAAGCCTGTTACAACACTAAATGAGATAAGAAATTATGGCATAAAACAAACAGGATGATCACAACTGAACATTGCCACATGCCACTGTTAAAATGCCTCTTTAATGGGAAGTGATTGAGGGGTGTTTTTGTCCATTGAAAAGTTTTTTTTATTAAAAAAGCAGATAATTAAAGAATTTATGAGGATTATATGTAAATCTTTCTAACTTTCTGGAAGGCATGACTGAGGAAAACATACAAGTCACCAGTAATGTAAATTTTGTACAATATTAGAATGTGTAAATGAAGCTTGCTTGTAGGGTGAGGGAACTTTAAATAAAACCTTACGTCCTAATATGTTTGACTGATACATCTCTGTTTGCAACATTTGAATAATAAAACATTGGGACTGCTTTTCATCGCACAGATATTTTAAAAAATGTTACCCAAAAGTGATTGGCTACTCTTTGGCCTTAGCAGATATCTGCCTGTTAAAAAGAAGAAGAGCCAAATCATTTGAAGTAGTGAATATGACATATTTTCATTGTAAAAAGATATGTAGACCAGATCCCTTGAAAGATGCTTCCTTGTAAGTGGGACTATCAAGCCAGAAGGTGTGTGTGTGTGTGTGTGTGTGTGTGTGTGTGTGTGTGTGTGTGTGAGGAATGACTTGAGAAACTATAAGTAGCTTCTAGTGTGAGAGAATTGGCCGTCTGCAAGGACGTTGCCCAGGGGATGCCCAGATTTTTTTTAATATATGTTTTTTTATTGCTGACACAGGTAGAATAATGTCACAATCCACCACCATTTCAGAATACATATCAAATATTATTTTCTTAGTGTTATTATTCTTGCTTATTCCACTTTTATCTCCCATTTGTGTCTATCAATTTTACACACACATCCTCCCCCCACCCCTTGGGAACAGTACTAGCCTTCATTCAAATATTATTTTAATTGAACTATCATAGAAAGAGAATGGTTCAGCTCTTTATATCTTTCCATTCCTTCGACTTTATCTATCAACCTTCCCCATTTCTGAACCCAATTCTTCTTGATTCAGTATGATGTATATTTGGCTCTTCTTTCAAAGATGTAGACCTGGAACAAGTCTGCTAGGTAACAGTACTATTTTTAACTTCCCACTTTCTATGGTCTTTCCACCCCAAGACCACAGTTTCTATGTTTTTTCCACCCCAAGGGACACCCTAATGTTTTAATGTTTTACTATCCTTGTGGTAGGCTTCACTCATGTCCCCGCATGGGGAGCTGGTGCTGACAGAGGAAGCTCATCTGCCTTCTCCCCAATTCAAACCTCTGACCTATTGGTCTTCAGTCCTGCTGGCACAAGGCTTTAACCCATTGCGCCACCAGGAGCTCCTAGGCCAGAAGTGCAACACACACACACACACCCTTTGATTATGATAATCATAATCAAAGGGTGTGTCGGCAATAAAAAACATATATTTAAAAAAATTGGGCATCCCCTGGGCAATGTCCTTGTAGATGGCCAATTTTTTCACACCAGAAGCAGCTTATAGTTTCTCAAGTCACTTCACACACACACACACACACGCCAGAAGTGCAACTGTGCAAGTATTTTAAAGCATTATCATAATCAAAGTGTGTGTGTGTGTAAGAGAGAGAAAGGCAATGGAATTGTCCTTTTGTTTTTTGTTTTTTTGTTTTTCCTCCAGCCTTTGAAAATTATGGCAATCGAAGAAGGCTCAGTAATACTGAGGGGTCAGAGTAGTTAGGAGGAAGGGAAGTTACACTAATGAATTCTAGAGTGCTTGTAATGCCATAAAAGATTCAGTTAATCTGCAGCATAGATGTTGATCAGTGGAACTGAACCTAACTCCTTAGACCTTGTCAGATTTATTCTGTGCGTGTCAGTGTTCCACACCAATTACAGATTTTAGAAGAGGCTCTCATGCAAAACTCTGTGCCCTAATATATAAGCCAACTCAGATGTAACTAAAATTAAAATCTGACTGTGGTAAATCTCTGTGATCCTGATATATGAAAATCCAAATAAATTATTTGTTCACAGAAATGAAAAAATAACTTCAGCAGGAAATTTCTAAAATTACTTATGCAGGATTAATCCAGTTCAATGGGTGCATCTTGCATTGATTAATAAAGCATCCATGAATTGCAAAATGAAACTACAGAAGACAGGCAGGGACATTATTTTTGTGTCCCTTACTGAAACTAAAGTAGAGTATAGAGTCCTTTAAAAAACGTGACCATTCAGTGTATTATTTTAATTGTAAGGGACTGAATTGAAACATAGTTCTAATTGCTTTATTATTGTATTGGCTTCGCTATGGTCAAATGTATTCTTATTCATTTTACTTCTATGAAAAACACAAGTCATGCTGTAGTTCTCTTTACAAACCAACATGGCAGCAAGCCACAGCTCGGCTAGTTTTATTTTCTCTCACTTGTACAAGCTTTAATGCAATATTGTTCTTCTACTCTCTTGAATCTTTCATATCTTTCTTTTAGTGTGAAGATGTCTGTTAAATGATTTCATGCACCTCATGACTACAAGCTGTTTTCCTTCCCAATTCATTGCAAAAGAAAGGAAAGGAAAGAACTATGGTAATTTTAATTTTAAAATAATCATTTGGACTACTAGCGCAAGGAAATGGGCATTTGACCCCTTCCACTGGACAAGTGAAAGTGGTATGTTTCATCCCAGCCCCAGGTTACAAATTGAGAAAGAATATGGGATTGTCTGTGTGCTAATCTCTATCCAGCACCATTGCTACATCCTACCTAGAACTCAACAGAATAAACCCTTCAAGAACATGGGTAGAATCCAATTGTTATACTGTACTAGCAATAATTGTACTTTATCCAGGGTCATGGAGTGGTTGTAAGGAAGGACAGAAAAATTTGCTTGTTCTGAGCAGCCCAGTGCCTTACTTTCTTTATAAATACATTTCAACCTGGTTTCAAGCCAGAATGTAACACTGAAGCAGCCATAGTTGCTCTAATTGATAACCTGGGGGAGAGGGGGTAGTAAAAACAAAGGTTTCACCTGACATTAAGTCTATCATGTTCAACTCTGGGTGGTGGTGTTCATCTCCATTTCTAAGCCTAAGAGCCATCGTCCACAGACACCGCCAAGGTCACTTGGCAGCACGACTGCATGGAGCGCTGTTACCTTCCCACCAGAGCGGTACCTATTGATCTACTCACATTTGCATGTATTCGAACTGCTAGGTTGGCAGAAGCTGGGCCTAACAGCGGGAGCTCACCCTGCTCTCCAGATTCAAACTGCCAACCTTTCGGTCAGCAAATTGAGCAGCTTAGCGGATTAACCCACTGCACCACCAGGGGACCCTATTGATCTCTCAGCAGCTTTTTAGATTGTTGATCATGGTCATACTGGAATAACTCTGTGGGATAGGAAATGAAGACATTATTCTGCAATGGTTCCATTCCTATCTAGAGGGCCAATTCCAGAGAACAGCAATGAGGAATCCATTTTCAGTCCCATGGCAATTAAGCTGTGAGGTGCTAAGGGTTCCAAATTGTTTTCCATGCTGTTCAGTATATACATAAAGCTGCTGGGGATTGTTATCAGTGGGTTTGGAGGGGCTGCCATTCATATGATGATGGTACTCAGCTCCATTTGAACCTTGGTCTCCCCATGTACTAATCAAACACTCAAACCACTACTAGTGTTCATAAATAGCATATAGAAATACTTTAAAAGTGCATTTGTCACTTTTGAGGAAAGTAAGCTTATTCCCTTATGGAGTCAGTAATGACTGTAGATCCCGCAGGCTCTTTCACTGTTGAATTTCAGCAACAGAGCTGTCAATGTGAGTGCTCAGAATAGCTTCATGAGGCTGGTGAATCCTTCCATGATATGCAGTGCATGCAGATGGTGATGCTGCAGGCACAATGTGGAGGAAATGGGCACAGATTTCAGAACTCATTTCTGGCATTTGGCCAGTCCAGATATAATGCTGCTGCTTCCAGGATGAGAGCTTTGCTCTTGTACCCTGTCAAAAAAGTGTGCCAAAAATTGGGAAGAATTTCCAAATAGCATTTTAAAAACTCCTGGATTATCTTTTTCCTGAAACAATTGCTGTGAGGCTACCTAGATATCACTTACCACATGGGAAATCCATATGCACATTTTTGCCAATGGCAGTTAAGGTGCAGAGGGAGGAAGAACATCCAGACAGCACATATACTGCATATACTAATTTCTCCAGCGGTGTGGGGCATATACATATTGTGATGATGTGGCATGTCTCATTAAGAGCCACATCCACTGCCCAATAAATCAAATACTCCCCACTTAAGGTCTCAGATCCTTCTGCTGCTCTAGTAGCATTTAGCTGGAATGCAGCTCTAGGCCTCATCCTGCCACATTCTAGCTTCTAAGAGACTGTTGGATGAAGTCCAGGTTGAAGATATTGGCTAAAATTCTGTCACCCACTCTATTAATTCACACACTCTTCCTGTGCTTTCCTTCATTGCTTTCTTCTCCCTGGTCTTCCAACTCTCCCTTAAAATGACCTATAGGATATGCACATGATTTGATATAAAGAATTTCCAATCACAGCTGTTCTGAAACAAAAAAGAGTGTCCTCCATGCAAGCAATTGAGTACTGTATTGATAGCATATATAGCTTGAGTATCCTTTATCTGAAATGCTTGGTACTTGAAGTATTTTGGATTTCTCCAGATTTTGGAACATCTATATTTGCATATATGTAAGTAATGAAATATTTTAGAGATGGTACCAAGGTCCAAACCTGACATTAATTAGTTTTTCATATATACCTTATATACATAACTTGAAAGTAACATTATGAATTATTTTAAATATTTTTGTGAATGAAACCACAGAACCAACAAAATGCAAAGTTATTACCTCAGCCACCCATGTTGATTTTGGAGTATTTCAGATCTCAAAATTCCAAACAAGGGATGTTCAACCTGTATAAAGTGAACATCCAGTCACACAAACATTCATTCACTCTCCTTAGGGTAATGTATGCATAATCTGTGCTCAGGATTTAAGATAGTTCTTGTGCCTAGGTATAAACAGGAATGAACATCAGTACAGGCATTTTTACAAAGCTTTGTTCATGTGTACTAGAGATGGTTTAAAGTTTTAGGGTTGTTAAAGTGAAAACTGGAGAGCACTCATATATAACTTATGGTT